TAACAATGGTCCAACTCCAAAAGTTGAAACTGAGATATCGAAGGTTTTGTGAAATCAGTTATAGTTAATTCTAGAAATATCACATACTTATGTACCGTAATTCAATTTTAATTACGGTACATAATTAGATATTTATTTTTATAACAATGACACACAATATTGAAATCTTGCTTGAATATTGAGTTTAAGTTGTGTTTGAAAATTTAAAATTGGAATTGTACCATTTTTAAAATGACTGACCTTCTTTCTTATCCTAAAAATATGGAACAAATTTATTTGAATGAGGTTTAAGTATTGTCATTGTAAATAATTTCTGCATTTTAAAAATATCTAATTTCTGATATTTAATAGTACCCAGTTGTAAATTTTTATACATAAATGTTAACAAAGATGAAAGTTATAGAGAAAAATAAAATTTTAAATTTTCATTTTAACACCCTGTATCTTTCTTAATATCAACATTTTATTTAAGCAATTTGGTTAAATCGTAATATTTTAAAGTGTAGAATCTACGGTTTCTTTTTGTACAATTACTTAAGGACCACCCTGTATATAATAATATAATAAAGCACAGTAATAATTATTTATTTGAAGAACTTTATATACGTATAATTACGACAGAAAGATAATCTCGTCAGCTGAAAAGCGATTTTCTTCATTAATAGTAGAAGACCGTGTTGCTATCTGCATCGGCAGATTTCTGTAGTAGTGAAGAAAGATCAGAGGTATGTAAGGTAATAAGTGTAACATGTATCTTTGATTGTATCAGTGAGTGCTCTTCTGGATGGATACAGAGGACCTTGCTGTACATTGCACAGGTTTTTCATGGGTCTACCGCATTTAATTTTTGGAAATTTTCACCGTGTAAAACTCCATAAATCCGTTCAATGTTTCTTTGAACTGGAACTGTTGCGGACGATCTCGTTGAAAACGGATCCATCGAATTTTTAACCAATTGAATTTTTAACCGCAGATAGTTTTCTTTCTGTTTGTTACTTCGTTTTCCAACACTTCTGTGCTAAAAAATTCTTCTCGCTGCATTTCAGTGATGACAAAGTGAGGTTGCTTGCTGTTAGCATTTTTTATTATTTGTATCCATTCCTGAGGGTTGTAAATTAGAGCATGTTTTCTGCTAACACTCTCTATAATACCGAATTCTCTATCATTCGGCAAGTAGGAGTAACCAGAAACTAGGAACTTATCTAGAAACTAGAAATCTATTATTCTAGTTCGTACGTCTGGATCTTGGACAAGTTTTAACAACGATATGCTTGTTTTAATGTTACGGTTTTAACCCGTATACGAATCGGAATACGCAATTACATGCTCATAAGAAGAACCTTCTTGCTTTAGTTATTTCACTAAACCTGATGCAATATCTTGCGATCCACAACCACCTTCAGTTTCGTCCCATACATACATGTATCCTGTTTTGTTGTTTATGCAATGTATGCTAAAAATGTATATGTACAAATTCCTCTTGTAATAGGCTACTGAAGTAGTTAATTTTGGGTAGGGTAGCGCTTTCTGTAGGTCAAATGGGATAGTCAAATCACATAGGCTTCATCTATTTTCTTTGAATCATTATTTAAACTCTCTCTGGCAGCATCTGCTTTCCTTTTATGTAGATCTTTCTGTAGTAGTAATTCTTTCCTGAGTTGTTGTTCTCGTGTGGATTTGATTTTCAGTTCAAATTCATCACATAACTTACAGGTATCTCGGAAGGGCAGTTTGAAGTGCAAGTTAAATTTACTGTTGAAGACATGGTAATAGTACTTTAATTTCTTTCCTATTCTCTGTGGCACATTCTTCTTTATAGAGATCGTACATCTTTTTTACTGTAAGATTGCTGTTTAAATATTTTCGATGATTTTTTAATCTCGAATAGTGACTCTGATATGCAGGAAACATACCGATGTGTTCTACGATGGCTGAATCGTCTAGTTGTCTCGAACTTGATACACCACGCCGTTGTTTACATTCAGATGCTATACAGCTTTAGATATGTATCTATATAGGCGTCCGTTACTTATTTTAAACGTAGCAAGGAAGTATTTCGTACATACCTTCTGTTTTCGTTTTCGTATCATATTTCAATAAATAGTGAAATACTTGCTGTTTGTTAACACCAGAGCCATCTTTTGGACGTCGACGGTTTACAGCACTCGATTTTACCAGGCCATAGAGATAGATTATGTTTAACATAATTTTCACATTTCCAAAACTCCTCAAATATTTTTTTCTCTCAGTTTCTGTAAACAAAGTTGAACACTTTTTGGTACAACCACTAAACTACTTTTCAGGTACTCTCATTCCATTGTAGGCAAAATACTCTTTCCCACTATTTCTACCTTTCTTTCTTTGGTGTATTTTCTATTCTTTTTCTTTTCTTATTCGTTTTCTAGATGTAGCAGAAGTACCTTGATTTACGACGGCTTCTAGAGCAGCATTTTCAATTACTACTGCTTCTCCCTGAACAGTCCCCGGAATGTCAGCTTGAGCACTCGTTGATGGTGTTGGTTACGGTCCTAGACCAGAAGTGATTAAAATCGGATTTGCAATGAGTTCCATCAGCAGTTGTTCATTATTAAGGCTCTCATCACAGTCTAAAACAATAACACAATGTTTTAGTGCAATTAAAAAGAAAAATATCTTAACTAATGTTATTTAAATAATTGAGACCTAAACTACGCAAAGGTAAACTGAATTATGTAAGTACTCTTAATTAAATAACTAAAATGTTAATTGCAATTTGATACTATTTTTTTCCTTAAAATATCATTACTTTTAGGTTACGTTAGGTTATGAGTATGTACTTACCGGATGAATATTCATTATTCCTGTCTGAACTCGGAAGATATTCTGATCCATAATCACTATAATCCTCATTGTCGTCGGAATTCATAACGAAAACTTGCAATTTTTAATAAAAATACATGTTAGTTAAAAATACGTTCCCCGAAGTGGCGTGATAATTCAGAGTGATAATGGTCCATCTCCAGATTTCTACCGTTATTATACTGACGCATAAACTTAGATCATTTTTAAACTGAAATATTTTGATTTTGTATGACGGTTTCGATACAAGTGGTGCCTTCTCTGCTTCAGTAGATATAATTAGGAGTCGTGCCATTTTTATTCTGAATGATACTCATAAAGCGAAGCCTTCTGTACACAAAACGCGAATTTTAAAAAATATGGAGTTGGACCATTATTATTCTGGGCGCCTCAAAGTCTCAAAATTTCATATATTGGTTCTCTCATTACGTTGCCTAGGTATTATATTACAGTTTTCTTATTTATACATTGGTTATTAGTTCTGTTTCTTTATCAAACCTCTCCAGTACTTCTTTCTGCTTTCCAGGATTTCTGCTTTAATTTTTCTCCAGCCATTTATTTTTTGCAAAATTTATATACCAATCCATTTTTTCTATTTTGTTCTAATGAAATCTATCGTTTCCACTTCTGCTGCCGTAAATGTTTTCCTAAATATATTCCATATTCTATAATGTCTAGTCCATTTCTCTGTTTCATTTTTCATTTACATTAGTAGTTTATGTAACTGTCTTATATATCATCAGGCTCTATTATTTCTTCTAATATCTTATCGAGTTTCCAGAATTTTTCTTCCTCTGCTATGACATGTTTTATTTGCCAATAGTCAAATATTGCCAAAAGCCAAAAGCAGATTATTTGGACTCAAATATCTCTTTGACTCATAAAATAAAGTGAATCTGAAACCAGAGATGAACAATTTAAACCTAGTAATCCTGTAGCCAAAAAGATAAATGCAGATAATTTGGACACAATGTGAACACTGAGTATTTCGGCAGATGACGCCAAAGTCCCCAGGTTTTGAAAGTAAGTATTCAAGTAGAAAGAGATATAGTAAGTAATATAGTAATAGTAGGTAATAGTAATCAAACGCCTTAACGGTAAGAGCATGAACTTACTGAATTTAAAAAATCAGGGGTTGGGTGGGGGTTGCGTAAAGATAGGGTGGGAATCTTTATTAAAAAAATAAAGCGGACTTTACTTAATAATAAGTCATTTACTTAATACACGCACACACACTTCATAAAAATGATAAATTACACACTCTGATAAATACCCTTAGTACATAATGAGGTTAATTGAAAATAAAGATAGCAAGTATACTAAATAATTATTTAAAAAAAATACATTCACATTAACATACCAGCTTGAGAAAATCGGACGGTATCAAACTTGAATAAGCATATCTTAATTGTTAAGAGTTTACAATCTTTATTGTTAAATAGCTTTTTTGCCATACTCGTTCTAATATATGCAAAGAAATATCTACTGAATAGAAACTAAAATCGATATGCAGACCTATTACATAAGGACGTTTAACTAAGTGTAGTTGAGGGCTTTTGAAATAGACACTTTGTTTGACTTCTTGCAAAATTATAAAAGTGCAGCATAAGTAAGATTTTATTTAAGTATATCTATAAAATTACTTGTACCGTTACAACAGTCAACAAAAGTAAAGCTTTTATCTTTTAAAAGCACAATCTAAAATATAATATAAATTGGCACACCTTTATTTTCATAGTAAACTTCTCAAAGAAGCGAAATTATACTTTGCTATGTGTACTTAAAACAGTTAAACAATGATAAATTAATATTTGTATTGTAAACAAGTTTAAAAGTCTCTCAAATTATACTAAAAGGTGTACAAACATCAAAACCAGTTTTGTTGAGGACTCATGTTCTACTTTCTACATTTACATTTATTTTATTCATAGATAAAATTAATTTTGAAATGTTTTGAACATGTAGGCAATTAACACTACGGGGTCTGTCCGAAGGCGGCCTCTATGGCAGAAAGCTCGCATTATTTAATAAGACAGACAAATAAATGACAATTGACATTGACGGTAATGACATTTGGAGTAGGAGTAAATAGCAATAAATAGTAAAAAGAGAAAATTATAAGAAGTTTAAAAAGAAATAATTTAAACTATACTAAGTAGAAAATGTCATATGTAACAGGACCAAATGTTGTAAATTATGCCTGCAGTTGTGGCTTGTTAAAACCGATACCGTATCTATATTTTTGCAGATATTGCACGCAACTTCGTTGCAGCTTTTGTGTGTGTCATGAGGTAAATTTATTCCAGATTCATATAACTTGTAAAATTTATATAGTAAATCTATTTAGGAGTTTAGGGCAGAATTATTATGTATGGTCTTGATCAAATTTAATACTATTTTTACTGGGAATAAGCCACAATTTTACTTTAAAACAAGTTTATTTGACGTTTGGATTTCCACTTTTGAAATCGTTCTCAGAATACAGAACATTATTAAATTGACAATTTATAAGTAGCAAAAATAGTATTAAGATCCCACAAGAAGATAGCTTCATCATGAAATTATGTTTTTAAAATTATTTTTAGGGGAATATTAAGTGTGTTTATATGGGATTATGCCACAATTGATTGTAATGAAAATTAAGTTTTTAACTGATGTTTGAGGTCTTGATTTTGTTTTATAATCTACCAACAACTTGTGGACGTTGTTATACATTTGGCAGAATTTTTTAAAATAAGTAATTCTTTTTCTAAAAGCAATTTCTGTAGTGGACATCAAAATGTCAAACATTCAGTAAAAATCAGTTGTGGCTTAATCTCATATAAACATAATATTTAACTTGACATGTCACAAAAAATAGTTTCAGAACCTTTTTATTTTTAGGTGGATTCGAATTTTTGTGGAAAATGTTCAGAAAATATTCCTACATCAGAAGCTAGGGTAAAGAAAAATAGATGTGGAAACTGTTATAACTGTCCCAGCTGTGAGCAAGAATTATCTCCAAGAATGGCCTCAACAAAAACTCCAGCTGAAGGAGAAGAGAAGGTTACTACCAAGAAAATGTATTACTTATATTGCCAATTCTGCAGATGGAGTTCTAGAGATGTCGGTATACCAGATCAGTCTACAGGTATTATTTTAGCCAATATTTTTTTAACCATATACAAAAAGTGGTTTTAAAATCAATTTATATCTCAAAAATTAATTTCTAAATTTAGAGAAAAGATAACATGTTTTAATGAGTATTAGAGACATTTGGAATAATAATCAAAAATAGTGAGTTATTGAGTAAACCATGATATAATATATTTATTATGTGTGACCTTAAATATAAAGCATGTTATATAATATAATGTTGATATTTTAAACATACTGGTGAAATTCCATTTCAACTGATATAGATTCTAAATCATGTTGATATTGTCATTCGTGGAAGAAATAGTGAAGGAAGGTATTTAATGGTACTTTTGAAATAAAAACCCTGCTGATAGCTGCTGCATGATTTAGATATTACCAGTAGTTGATCTTAGAAAGCAGTCACAAAATCTCAAAAGCCCCTTAGCTAAAATCCCTAGCTTGCAAAATATTCGTATCACTTTGTAACTAAGTGTTTCGCATCACATTATTCTTACGTAAGAATTATTGAATCAATCATTGATAGTATTTAGTGTTTTCTACAACTGCAGTTATAAGCTAAGTTCTTTTATTCAAGCCGTTAGTATTGCCAGTAGTTCAAGTAGTTATTGTTGTAATTAGATATAATAGTCAAATTAGCCTGAGTGAAGTGTAGTGAAATATCTCAAAATAGTAATATTGGACAATACCACCATTCGCTACTCATTCTACATATGAATGTTACTTAATGTCTAGCTAAAATCAGAAATTGCTATTTAATAAGTTTGTGTTTAATCTGTTGTTCATTCCACTGGTGATCCTTTGATTCTTCTTTCTATGCCCTTTTACACCACATACCAAACTGTGAACATTCAATTTTATAGTAATGATCTAGTTCAATGAGCTAATTAGCTGCAATAAGACCATAACACAAATTTCTTATTTTCATTCTACTAAATATTTCTATATTTTACAGTAACCGGAGGATGGCCTGAAAGGGAAAATGTCCATGCTAATAGGTTGCAGGAATTAGTGGATATGTACAAGGCTATAGTTGTTGCCCAAAAACAACAACAAGAAAAGGATAAGAAGAAGCAAAGAGGAAAATATGTGAGCTATACAGTGAGTATTTTTTTTGTCTAAAGTATAATTTATATTTTGAACATGTTTGAAGTTGTCATATCATAAAATTGATATTACAGTATGCGGTTTTGTGGGGTTTGAGGAGAATGTGGTTATTTTCACATTCTAGTCAATCAAAAAGACTGGAATTGGGAGAGGGTTTGTAATAAAAACATACTAACCTATAACAGAGTACTTTTAAAGCTCTTCAGTGTATCCAGCTAGTTCAGTTCAGACTTGAAAGACAGGCTAGTCTGTAACAATTAATGAGCATTACTCTAGTAATATATTTATTAGTTGTGGCGTACCTCAAGGCTCTGTCTTGGGTCCTATCTTCTTCTTGATATATTTTAATGACATAATTAACCTCAACATAAATGGCCGGTTTACTATATTTTAGGATGACACCACAATTTTATGGCAAAACAAGGACTCTGAGCTATTGAATAAGATTATAAGTATTGATCTGCTAAAAATCTTAGAGTTGTGCAAAGGTAATCATTTGAAACTTAATTTATTAAGAACCAAATTAATTTCTTTTAATAATGATCTAAACAACAATTTCTCTCTAAGTAATGAAGGTATTTGTTCTGGCATAGTTTGAGCAACACACTATATTTAAGCAAAAAGATATCATCGGGTTGCTTTGCAGTTAAATCAGTTGCACACCATTTGGATTTCAAGATTGCAAAATGTTTATGTGCCCTTGATTGAATCGAAGTTGAGATATGGTATTTCCTTTTGGGGTAGCTGTTCTCTTCATCATTTTAGCAGACTTTTGTGCTACAAAAGATAGTACTCAGATATTTATGCAATGTCAAGTTTGGTACATCATGCAGACTTTTGTTCCAGAAACTTGGTACCTTGACTTAAATATATATCCTTCAAATAGTGTAATAATAATAATAATAATCTTTATTAATAGCACATGGCTAGAAAAATATACATGTAGATACATCAATTTATACCCTTAAAATTAAATCACAATGCTTTGCTTAACATATATCTTACATAAATTTTTAAATTGAGCTAAGTTTCCAGAAGCCTTAATGTTTTCCGGTAATTCATTGTATTGCTTTAATCCCCTATAAAAAAGATTGTTCTGACCAAAATTAGTGTTGACCCTATTCAGATAAAAGTTATTTCTAGAACGTGTGTTGTGTTCATGTACATCTCGAACAAAGGTACAATTATTACACAAATGCACAGGTATCAGACCATTTAACATTTTATAAACAAAAATCATACTATTACATACAATTGTCTGTCTTACACTTAAAACATTTGCCATTGTTAGCATGTCAGTTCTACTAGTATATACACTACATCCTAATATTATCCTTAAGGCTTTATTTTGTTTTTTTCTGCAGTACGTTCATTTGAGAAGCTTTCATTAAAAACAGCAATGTAGAGCAAAAATAGAGATGGGGAGCAATAATCGATTTATATATGGTCAACCTAGACCAGCAACTTAAATTTTTTGACATTCTTCCCAATGCATAGATTTTTTTTGCTATTTTGTTTGTAACAAACTTAAAATGTTCAACAAAACTTAAATTTTCATCTATAATACATCCCAAATACTTATACTGAACCACTCTCTCCAAAGCAATATTATTAATTTTTACATCTTTTATTATGTTATTTAATTTAAAATTTTTATTCTTTATAAGCATCATTTTTGTTTTAGTTACATTAAGACTTAAGGAATTATTATCGAGCCATTTTAATATATTACATATCTCTTCATTTATTATATCGATTATTTCATCTACCTTATCCCCTATTGCATATATCACAGTATCATCGGCAAACAACTGTACCTTACACTTTTTAACAACATCAACAATATCATTTATATACAGTATGAAAAGAGTAGGACCTAACACAGTTCCCTGTGGCACACCATACAGAGACTTCTGAGCCGATGAAATGGCACCATATTTTGTCACTTGTGTTCTATCAGTCAAATATTCTTGAAACCACTTTATAATTTTTCCACCAAAGCCATACCTTTCCATCTTTCTCAATAGCAGTTGTCTGTTAATGGTTTCAAATGCACGTTTAAAGTCTAAGAAAACCACACCAATCATTTTCCCGCACTCCAGCGCACCCTTCCAGTCAAACAAAACCGTCTGCATTGCACTCTCACAGGAATTTCCTCTCCTAAACCCTGCTTGGAATTTAGTTAACACATTATTGCTTTCCAAGTACTCCACTATTTGATCATTTACACATAATTCCAGAAGTTTTTCGTATGGTGGTACCATATTTATGGGTCGAAATTCCTCACACTTAACAGTTCCATGAACCTTCTCAATTGGTACAACCAGACTTCTCTTCCATTTACTTGGGAATACGCCACTTTCTAAACTACCATTTATAATATGCAAAATTTTGTCGCCTATTACTTCAAAGGAACTCTTTAAAATTTGAACTGTAATACCATCAACATTACTTTCTTTGTTTTTCATTTCTTTCATTTGTTTTTTTAAATCTTTCATTTCTAACATTTTGAATTTTTCCATTTTGCAGTCGACATTTATTGAACTACAAATTTCTTGGTGGGTTTTGTTTGAAATAATGCTATCTGCTATGTCTTTTACACTGTCTAGAAAAAATATATTAAATCTTTCACTTATCTCTTTACCAGTAACCCCCACACCATCAAATATTATTTCACTTTTAGCTTCATGGTTTTTTTTGCCGTTTATAAGCTCCTTTAATGTTTTCCACATTCTTTTTGGATCATTCTTACAATCATCTATTTTTTCCTGATAATAATTTTGTTTGGTAATTCTGATTAATGCTACGACTCTATTTCTTTGTTGTTTGAAATCATCCCAGTCAGTATCAGTTTTAGTAAATATAGCCTTTTTGTAATATTGATCTCTTTTTTTAATTTCATTCGCAATGTCTTCATTCCACCATAATTTATTTCCCCAAACATCCTTCGTATTAATAGACTTTTCTGGAGCAAACTGATCGAGTGCAGACAATACATTAGTTATTAGAATATCAGCATTGTTACTTACATCTATAGAGGAACTTGACGGCCAGTGCATATCCATAAGTTTCATTTGAAATCCTGTCACATCCATTGTATTGTACTTTCTATAGGTTTTTGTGAGTGTCGTCTCATTGTTTCTACCCAGATCAGCTACAATTATCGAATGATCTGTAATCTTTGGAGTTGGGAGCACCTTGCAACTAATGTCTTTTTGATTTGTAAGTACTAGGTCAATCCTAGTAGATGTCGATTTTGTAATCCTTGTGTATTCGTTTATTAGCTGATAGGTACCATTTTTAATAATAATATCATTTAATTTCATAGAGTAAAAGTTTATACTTGTCAAATCTATATTAAAGTCTCCCAATATCACAAAGATAGCATCAGTCTCAATGCTATCTAAAAACGCATCCAACTCCTCCAAAAATTCCGCATGACTTGCACTAGGTGAATGGTACAGACAATAGATGTAATATTTCTGGTTTTCTATAGTTATTTGTATTCCTGTTAACCATATATTCTTGTTTTTTTCTTCTTTAATAATTTCTTTATAACGATACCTTTTTTGTATATAAATTGATGTTCTGTGCTTAATTTTTACAAAACAAACCGGATATTTGGACAGATTCATTTTATAACACTTGTATAACTTGTGTTATTCCACTTCCAATTTCCAAAATTCATTTATTTACACTGGAAAGAAAGTGTTTAATCACCTACCACTCGATATAAGACCCTCAAGCAATATCTTTGCATTCCGTAGAGCAATAAGTTTTTTTATCTAAGTGTTACTATAGTATCGAGGATTTTTTTGAGGATAGTTGCACTAATTGATAGCTTTGTTATTATGAAAATTTTATAGTTAGCATGTATTTTAATGTATCTTATACTCTGTTTGTACTGTGTCGTGGGTTTTATAAATATAACTCATTTTAGAAACAAAAAACTTTAATGCCACTTGCTATTTACTTTTTCATCATATATTAAATCAAAAAATAACTTAGCTTATGATTTATCTAAACCCATTCTCTAAGGTACTTGTCATGTCACAGTGCACCAATGACACAGCTGCAATTTTGGATTCCAAAATACTTCTGAAGATTATAAAGATCCTATCTACATGCTTTAGAACTTTTGAGAAACTGACCAAACAGAGGTTCAATTAGGTTTAACCTTGAATGACCTTGCTTCTAAGTTGTACTAGATTCCGGACAAATATCTTTCCCGGATAAGTCGTAAATATATTCAGAAGGACTTTATAGATTAACTTTTTATTTTACAGAAAACAAAAATTGTGTAGGTACACTTCCCGTCATATAAAACTGGTACACTTTTTTTTCCCAATGTTAACCAGTGTTCAGACTGGACACAATGGTTTGTGAATCAATTCGTTGTTGCCATCACAGATAATAGAATTCACTATATCTAAATAAAAAAAACGTTCAAAAATGTATAAAGTGTTTAGATATATATTATTTTTATCATTAAAAACAAAAAACGGTATCTAATAAATTTAATAACCAGAGAGACGGTTGAGTTAATGTCCAAAATGTTTGAAGAATCTTTTAATAATGGAGATATGACAAAATATTAATATTTCAGCAGTTTCGAATCGTAATACATATATATTTAAATTCCCCACTTGTTCACTGTAAAAGTTATTTATTTTGTATTAATTTTAAATTTAATTTTTAATTTTTCCAGTGTGTTTTATTTACTCTAGTATGCCACAACTCAATACAGTTTTGTGCTACACTTTACGAGAAACGAATAACACCTCTGAATTTAAAATTAAACATAATAATTTAAAGTTATGTCAAGATGTTTTATTATCTAACATTTTTGGATTAAAATATTTTCATAAATTATAATACTTTCAAACCCGATTCAACACGATTCAAACCTTACTTTTAGCTGTTTTGATATAATATATTCGTTGTTCTGGCAACGTTGCCCGAAAATTAGAATGACATACGTGACAAGATCAACTTACTCTTTCTTTTATAGTTAATGCTTCTTTCAGGCAAGGTAAATTTCCTAAAAATTTAAAACTGGCAATTGTCAAGCCACTTCATAAAAAAGGTGATGTTACTAAGATGGAGAACTATAGACCAATAAGCCTTCTTCCATCATTCTCAAAAATATTTGAAAAAGCAATATATTTCAGACTACAAAACTTTTTTACTACAAACAACTTATTTAGTAGTTCACAGCATGGTTTTCTCGCAGGGAGATCTGTTGAGACAGCTACCTATGATTTTATATCAAAAATTTTAGAAAAACTGGAGGCAAAGATGAAAACACTGGGTGCTTTTTTGGACCTATCTAAGGCTTTTGATAGCCTAGATCATGTTCTCTTATTACAAAAATTACATCTTTATGGAATACAGGGACCAGCATTAAAATGGATAAAATCATTTCTCACAGATAGGTCACAAAAGGTATGCCTGGAGAAAAGGGGATGTAAGGTTTATTCTGAACCGATCAATTTAAAATTAGGTATACCACAGGGGAGTGTTCTGGGGCCTTTTCTCTTTTTGGTCTACATAAACGACCTTCCAAATGCGGTGGTTAGTTGTTCCTCAAACCTTGTAAATTTCGCTGATGACTCAAATGTGCTTTTCTGGGAAAAAACTTTAGAAACACTCCTCACAGTGGCAGAGCAAATTCTAAGCAAGGCTGAACAGTGGTTCAGTGGAAATCGGTTGTTGCTTAATACTGATAAGACAGTTTTTGTCCACTTTAGAACCAGCCAGTCACGAGAACAGTTTCCAGATACAATTAATTTTCTATCAGAAAACACGGAAACTGCTAGATCAGTTAAATTTCTTGGTATCCATATTGACCAGAATCTGAATTGGGGGGAACAAATACAAAATACAACAAAAAAACTGAATAGAGCCTGCTACTCATTAAGAGTGTTAAAGAGCTATCTGGACCAGGGGATTTTACTATCAGTATATTATGCAAACTTTTATTCTGTTATGCGATATGGAGTAATCTTCTGGGGTGCTGGAGTAAATAGCTCAACTGTCTTTATAGTCCAAAAAAAGGCAGTCCGGGTGATCTTAGGACTAAAGGCGGGAGAATCGTGTAGAGGCCGATTCAAGTCACTCAATATACTCACTTTCTCAGCCATCTATATATTTGAATGTATTATGTTCCTTTTTAAAAATTTTTCTTTGTTTTATCACCTGCTTCCCAATCATGAATATAGTACAAGAAGCCTTAACTTGAATTTGCCACTTCACAGATTGTCTATAACAGAGAGAAGTCCTTTGTATGCGTGTGTTAAATTTTATAACAGTCTACCATCTGACATTAAACAGGAAACACACTATAGAACTTTTAAAAGAAAGGTTTTTCAACACCTAGTTGACATTGAGCCCTATACTGTGGCGGAGTGCCTGGCCTATCCTTCTCCTTAATCAACATATTTAATTTGTAATGTTAATGTATTTTAAATGTGTGATGTCAATATATATATATACATATTTTTTTTAATTTGTAATTAATAATGTGACGATATTTGCTCAATCATGTTTAAAGATTTATGCAAATAAAATTTACTCTACTCTACTACTCTACTCTTACACAGCTTGAAAAACACGATTTTCGGTTATAAGAGTTGTACCAGTTTTTTTATGACGCGAACGGTATATCAAGTTAGGTTATGTATGTTTGTGTATGTACTGTTGTGAATCTGACTAAAATCCCAACCCGAGCAATTTTTACTGCATAGCCTATCCTAATTATTATTTTTTAGATGGCTTCATAGCAAAGTGATTGGTTACAAAGTAGTTGTGTAACATTTGATATTTTTAAGCCTTGAAAGTTAATTTAACATGTTTACTGAAGCCTAAATATTTTTTTATTTTATTTTATTATTTTATTTTTTAATGTAGTTTGATGTTTGTATATTATTTTTAGGATAGAACTGGAGTAACAGCAGCTGCTCTTCGTAAGAGAATTGGACTTCCAGCTGATTTAACTCATCCTCTGCTTAAATCCAAGCCTAAAGAACCAGAACCAGCGAAAGCTGAAACAGAAGTGGAAAAGTTGCCTGCTGATATATTCACTAAGCCCATAAATCTGATGGAAAGTAAGCAATACAAGGGTTGTGTATGTGTGGTTTGACATTATTGGCTTTGGCAGCTAGCCCATTTGCCATATTTTCTGTTTGTAACTAACAATTTATGTATTCCTTTTATTATATCTGTACATGTGTTCTAATTATCCACTATTAGTAATATTGGACTGTTAAGTTATTTTTGGATACGAGATGAGTAAGTGATAGTAAAAGAACTGGCAGGCCTCGCATGGTTCGTACGCCACAGATTATTAACGCTGTTGGGTCAAGAATTAACCCAAGTCCTGTCTCAAAACAAAAAATCATGGCTCAGTAAATGGATATTATTATTATTATTTATTTATTAACGGATATACCATTTTTACATTGGAATAACATAATATATAAAATTGTACAAAGTAAGCACAACATTGGAAAATAATAGTAAAGTTTAACAAAAACTAATAATTAACTTGAATACAAACTAATATTACACAAATAGCAGTAATGATAGTGTTTACAAAATTTATGCTGAACACGATCAAGCTTGTCTATAGAGGTTTGATAGTAAGGTCCCCATACAACTATTGCATATTCTAGTCTGGAACGAATGAGACTCTTAAAAAGAATTGGTAAAACAAAACATGGAAATTGAGAAGTGTTTCTGGTTATAAACCCTAATTGTTTAAATGCAATGTTTACTGTGACCTCTAGATGATTACGAAATGTTAATTTACAATCAAAATAAACACCTAAATCCTTAACACAGTCCTGCCTTGACAGCTGAGTGTTATCAATGCTATAATCGTAATTTAAAATCGTTTGCTTTCTGTGAAAAGTAATAACACAACACTTATCAATGTTTAATTTTAATTCATTTAGTTTGCACCAATCGCTAAATCTGCTGAGATCCTCTTGTAACTGAATTTGATCATACTGACAAGTAATGACTTTATAAATTTTTTTATCATCAGCAAAGTTCAGAAATTTTGAATTCTTAATGACTTTTTCAACGTCGTTAATAAAGAGGACAAAAAGTAGGGGACCACAATGTGACGCTTGTGGTACTCCAGAGAGGACGTCAACAGATTGAGACAACACACCATTTATCTTAATGCTCTGGGTGTTACCCACAAGAAAACTATCATACCAATCAAGCCATTTGCCAGCTATACCAATGGCTCCTAATTTACTGATTAAATAACGATGATTTACTTTATCGAATGCCTTTGAGAAGTCAGTATAGATGCTGTCCACCTGGTACTTCCTCTCAAAGGCACCCAATATATCATCTTGGTAGACCAACAAGTTTGACACTGTGCTCCTCCCCCTTTGAAAGCCATGCTGTTGGGGTATTATTATATTGTCTGTTAGTTTTGATAAGTGAGAAGTCACTAGTTTGTCGAGAAGTTTTGGGATTGCTGACTGTATACAAATTCCTCTGTATTTTTCAATATCCTCTCTTTTACCTGACTTAAAAATGGGTACAATATAACTGTTCTTCCAGCAAGGAGGGAACTCACCAGTCATAAGAGATAAATTATAAAGATATTTTAGGGGAATAGTAAGAGAGCATAGACAGTGCTTTAATAATACCGGTGGGACTCCATCAGGCCCTGAGGAGAATTTGTTTGGAAGTTTACTTAATTCATCAAACACTGATATAGTGTCAACTTGAATTAGGTTTACAGGGTCAATGTGTCTGACACAGTCTTTAAAATCTGGAATGGGAGCACCTTTATCTTTCTCATATACACCAGAGAAGAATTCAGCAAAAAGGTTAGCAATTTCGATATTACCCTGTGCACTTCTGTTACCGAGATACATTTCTTGGGGGTAACTCAAAGATTTACGAAGTCTGCCAATGTATCCCCAAAATTCCCTGGGGTTATTACTAAAATTTTTTTCAAGAGATGAAAAATGTTGTTTCTGATAAAGTGTATGTTCAACTTTACATTGATCACGTAGATTAGAGAACAATAAGTAGTCCTCATTTGAATTAGATAATTTAAACCTCAGATGAGCTTTTTTCTTTTGAATAATAAGATCTTTTAAGTTTTATTGAGAACCAAATTGGGAACTTGTAGGAACACTTGACAGCCTCATAGGAACAAAAATATCTAAACACTGATACATATAGCTGTAAAATATTTGACAAGCCTCATTTATATTATTACAATGGTATAATGCATCCCAATTCACTGAAGATAGATAAAGGTTAACAGAATTAAAATTACAGTTTTTGAAATCATAAACATAGTCTTCATAAAAAACTGACTCTTTAAAATAACCAATAGGGATAAAAAATTCATACGGCTTATGCCTGAATGATTCACAAAACAATGGATCGACCGGCGTACACACGCCACACGATATTGCGCCTAGAACCATGAGTCATATTGTCAAACAAGATGTGGGACTTAGGATTTCAAACGACAAACAGGACAAAGCCTTTTCGTTGCATTGAAACAAAATAGGAAAAAATTAAGTAGCCTCAGCCTCATTATCCTGACTCAGTGATGGTTTGGTGGGTAGTGTTAGCCTCTGATAGCGTCACTTCTTTACATTATTGCGAAAATGCTTTAAAACAGCGGAGAGAAATTATCAATGGGGCATTTTAACAAATATAGTGGAGCCCCTAAACCATACTGTTTCAAAATCGATTATGAATATTTCAACAGAACTCTACACCTGTGATAAGGCCAAAGCTAGCCTAGACCTTAATCCACTCGTCTGCAAATCGTGGTCAGTTTTAGAGAGCATGATCTGTACAAGAAGTCATTGAAGCAGGCGCTAGTATTACCTGTGGACAATTTTCCTAAAGATGTCATCTGTACAGCGATCAATGAATGGCCTAACAAACTGCAGTGCTGTATGGTGGCCATTTTGAATAAGTTTTTGTAGGTTGTAGTTCATTACATCAATAATAAAAACTTTTTTAAATCAAACCATTAGTTTAAATTGTTTTTGTTAAATACCTTGTATCAATATCTATGGCAGGACTAAACCATAGTTTTGCATGATTTTCTGTTTAGAAACTTTATGGCAGAAAATATTAACCTAATATGTTTTTTTAGTAACAACTGTTAGTCAACGTCTTTTACAACCCGAAGCCCAACCTACAACTGTAGATACGCTATTTCCAGTCCACAAGCAGCTTTCAATCAAACGCACCCTTAGATGCAGAACTTGTGAGCATAACGTTAGCAAGCCAGAATACAATCCATGTTCTGTTAAGTTTAAAATTCAACTGTTTGCCTAGTAAGTAAACTCATCATTTAATAATAATCGAGTTTATGCTGCTCTCTTAATAGCATGTTTTATAATACAACATTCTTTATATTATTAACCCTCCCTGGATCAAGTGAAAGAAAGAAATATATTCAAGTGGGGTCGATGCTAATGTGTTTATTACGTCAAATTGTATTGTTTACACATTGAGCTATTTTTGTTGCTCTCGTTATTTGTTCTCTTACTTCTGTTTCCACGTTGCCATAGCCTGATACTTCTATGCCTAAGTATTTAAACTGTATCTCTTCCTTTGGTCCATTCAGCTCGAGTTTACATCATACAAGTGTCTTAAATGTTGTCATACATTTTGTTAAAAACTGAGAGTTTTTTTACTTAAAGCACCAGCAAGAAGCGGTACCTACTATCTAAATTGACAATGTCAAGTGCGACTTTGACTATATATATACAAAATTTCTGTAAAATCTTGCTGTAACTCCTTTAATGTAAATATCGGTTCATATATTCCATCGTGGACAGCATCATTAGCAAGCTGTCCAACCAGTTCATTTCCCTTGATGCCAGTGTGGCTTTTTATCCAAATAACTGTAATATCTTTATTTTTGATTTTTTAAATGACAAAGGATACTATTTCTTTTATGTTGAGTCATATTTTAATGACCGACAATGAATCTGATAATATTACTGCTTTATTTAATTTATGTAAATCTAACCAATCTAATGGTGTTTTCAACTGCTACCGCTTCAACGGTATATACCATTTTTCAAAGTAAAACACTTGCACGTCACGATTTATACAAAGTGACGTCACTTGTATTTAAAATTTCCAGAGCATCAACCTTATAGTTCAAATGTTCCTAACACAGCTAATAATACAAAACCCATACGGAACTGCTCGATCTTTCATAGATGTCAACATGGTGTTATAATCAGAAAAATATAATCATCAGTATATTGGAAATTTTAGAATTATATTGATTAAATAACCAAAAACATTTATTATTATTATTAATATAAATTTGTATTATTATTATTGACAGTTCAGCGGGTGGCAAAAGTGTATAATATGTTGCCGGTTTTTTAGAGTAGAAATTTTGTTTAGGTTTCGATTTCTTACACAATTTGATCATAATATATATATATATATATATATATATATATATATATATATATATATAATATTAAAAATACAATAAAATATAAAAATATAATCTATTAAAAACTAATTATTGTTGTCTATTGTGATTGTGATATGCCAAAACAAACAAAAGTCTGTAGAAAGCTGACAAGCTTTTATATAAGATAGATTATTTTGAACAAGAAATTAGAGAAAGGTGTTAAAGCCCTAAAAGAGGTAAGTTTAAAATTTAGAATATATAATTTTGTATTAAAATGTTTTCTTATGTAGTTTAATGTGTTGCAGTAGTCTTAAAACTGTTATTATTTACACTGTTATTATTAAAAAAGTGTATTTACTGTTAATATAATATGTAGTTTGACAAATAGTTGACATTTAAAAATTCCTCACTTACTAACTATTCTGATGTTTTGGCAACGCTGTGGGATTCTGACGACATAAATCTTGAATGACGTGCAAGCTTTTTTATCTGAAAATGCTATATGTTGAATATTATGTTATGGAAGTTTAATTTTCAAAGACTCGAATTTGTGCGGTTGCACATTCAAACACTGCACATTCTGTTGATGCATCGTTTGGGCAACACTGTTTTCCCTGTGTCTTGCATTCTATGGGCATGATTGTTTTACACCTAAGCACTACTGGGGAGCACAGTAGTCGCAACATCGTATGCTCAGCTGATGTAGTTCTGCATGCAAAAATCTACAGTTAACGACATAACTGAATCCCCTGTACCATGTTCTCAATTGTTCCGCAGGTTTTTATTTGGTTATACCTTATTCACACCTGTCCTACGGTCGTGTCTGGGCTTACTAGGTGAGGTTTCCTGTATTTTCATAATTCAATTTGCCACCCCGCGTTAAGTACTGGATACACCAGCCTGGAAAAATCTTTATATTGTTCTAACATTGGGTTTTTATATTTTGACAATAATTAGAATGTAACAGTTTAGATAAACATTCATTTTCCAAGCATTTATATGTTTACGAAATGCGATTTTTTAATATCTTTAATTTATACTATTATTTTATTTTTTAGTTACCATATACCCGAAGTTAGAATCGTCACGGTGGAGCCACTTAGAGCTGGGAAAGAATGCGAATTGATCTTAAAATTTACCAACCCAACTCAACATCAAACTACTATTAGTTTTTTGGAATTAAAGCTAGATGAACAAGAGGAAGTAGTTGAAAATAAAATGGTTCAAGTTACGGAGAGTGTTGAACATTTAAGTGTTCAGGAGGTATGTACTTTTTCCATTTCTAAGAATGTTAATTTATGTAAAAATGAAAGTAAAACTTTTTATGTTGGTCCATTTACAGTGGTTTTATTATGTACGAAATATGTCTTAACTAAAAGATTGGCACACAGATAATCCTAAAATTCTATAAACAGAATCGCGAGTAGGTTCTTGAAACCCAACCACTAAAGTCAGTTATTAAATAGATGTGTTAGTATATCGTTTGTAAAGATACCAATGGCTTACGACTACATAGGAACAAAGAAAAATAATGTAAATAGGGAATATCACATAATACGGTAGTACACTGCTACCGAATGTATTGTCCGAAAGCAATTTATAATTTTTTCCTCTCCATTTCGTTGCACACCATCAATGATATTTATATGTCGAAAAGTGCCGATACGGCAAGTTTTCAACTACCGTATACGTTATTTAATACGTGGAACAAAAATTAAACATTTAATTGTTTGAATACTAGTGAGACACAATCCACGCGTGTTGGAGTAGCGAGTCTAACTTTTAAACAGTGTTGCAAAATTTCTGTTACATTATTCCTTCTAAAATATTAGTCGGATACATGAGAGTAACATGAATATTTAAATCCACTACAGTTCATTTTGGAGTGAAAATTAATATTGCTCCAACAAAACTTAGATGAAGTAATCATGTAACTGTTATTTTTTAAACGGTTATGTCATTACTGGATTAATTAACAAAGAACACTGAATTAAGAAATTGATATGTGACAACAGCGTGAGCTAAATAAATAACGCACTTTATTAGACAGACAGATAGAATAAAATGTGTACCATATCTATGAGTACATGATTTCTACTCAAAAGAATAGGCGGTGCTTATCTGTACAACAGGTTTAAGGTTAATAAGGTCTATCTATTTGATTTTTAGCTGTGGTGGTAAAAAGTTGAGAACAAATAATTAACATGCCTAGCGTATATTATCGAGAAGGAAAGATTCAAATGGTGAAATGGTATTATGGGAACCATTCTGTTATAAAAATAATTCAGTTATTTATTGCTGCTTTTGAAAATCACCAACTTCCGACAGAAAAAACAGTACGATCAGTTAAGTATCAAAAACTTTGAAAATTTCGGTTGCATAAATACCTGTATGAAATGGATCAACAATAAAGGAGAGAACTGTAAGGAATAGTTTAAAAGGAAATTGATACAATTGCTATAAAGTGCAAACCACCCAAGAACTTTTTCCAGGCGATCATTTTAGAAGTATGAAATTTTGTGAAACTATGATGGGAGAAATCGAATGAGAACAATAACTTTTTAAAAAATGTTTTGTTTTCCGATCTTCATTCACAATCCATAAACGTCATAATGCATATGTCGCCCGCTTTTGGTCTACAGAAAATAAACATTTTAGTATTGCTGTAAAAACACAATACCTAAAGAAACTGAATGTGTGGACTGGACTTTATAACGATAATATAATTGGTCCATTTTTTATTACGGGAAATCTGAATGGATGTAAGTATCTAGAGTTATTACGCAATCAGATTATTCCAGCAGTTCGAAACCTTGCAGTCAACTTCGATGTTGTGTGGTTTTGACAGGATGGTTGCCCAGCACATAATGCAATCGAAGTTACAGATTATTTGGAACAAACATTCCTTGGACGATTAATTTCTACACGAGGAACAATAAAATGCCATCCTTGATCGCCAGATTTAGCACCTTTGGATTTTTATTTCTGGGGAATGCTAAAATCAAAATTATATCGGTATCAATTGGAACGAGCCATAAATTTAGCAGAATTGCAAGTCTGTAGTCGGGTACAGCCAAATTAGCTGAATGCAATGAGACTTGCTTTAGTTGATAGATAGATAGAATCTACAAGAATTGCATTTAAAACTCTAATATCGAGTTTTTATTAAGGTTTACCGACGGAAAGTTGGCGACGAAATAATGTTATGCAAAGAACTACACACTCCTGCTCATAGTCTGATAATTACTGAATGCCGGATGTATCTTGGCGCTTCGCACTGTGAAGGAAGGCGTTGCTTAAAATTTTACAAGTCGTCAGGGGAATAATGCGTTGTTGCCACACATTAATTTTTTAAATGAATGTTCTTTGTTAACTAATTAAATAATTGATAGAATCGATTAGAAAATAATTACATAGCAACTTTATTTAAGTTTTTTTTGGGACAATATTAATTTCATACTACAATGAACTGTAGTGGATTTAAATATTATTTTACACCCATGTTTCGGACTAAAGTTTTAGAAGGAAAGATGTTACAGAAGTGATTTAGTCCGCATTGTAGATCGCTGCTGGATTATTGTTAATTTTAAGCGAAACTCTTTCAATTAAGTTGAAAAACACCTGAACGTTTTCTTTAGTAGACCCCATTACCCTTGCTGAAATTTCTTTTGGTTTTTTTAAAGATAAATGCAGATGCCTAACATGAATGACTTAAGCCATTTCTTTACTGCCATAGAAAACTTGTCATAGAAAATAAATGTTTGAGTCCATTGCGTATGGTTAACTAAAAGACCAATTTTATATTATGTCTGACGCATGATACTATGACTAAGAAGATAAGATATTGCGCATAAGTCGTGACGTCATTGGAGAGTTGCACGTTCGAAATGTCAGTTTGTTGTATGTATCAATAAATAATCGTTAATAAATAGTTTGGAGATATCCTTATGTGTACGATTATTGTAATTATTAAACCTCTTAACTTATTTTCGTCTAGTAATTTCATCACAGAATGCATACAAATCCCATTTAACTTTAACAAGAGTTCAAATTCTACTCTCCAATGACGGCATTCGCGAACACGACCGATTTTGTGCTACGGGAAGATCCTATCTTGTTAGTCATAGTATCATGGTCTGACATACGAAACACTAAAATTCTTTTCTCCATCTCAACTGCATATTAAACTAAACCCTTTAGGCTTTTAGTCGGCTTGATACTTCTCTCACGAAGTCAATGAGTGTACTTTTAGAAACAGAAAATTTTGAGTGTTCCCATTTCTTTATTTTTCACGGCCTACGCTGCTCTTTTCATTCTTCACCATACTTTTCCTTTGTTTTGATGGTATCAGTAAAAGAAAGTATCTCGAAATAATTAACAAACACAGTATGCTTTCTAATATCGGCTACCAAATATTAGGAATTAATACCTATTTTCATAAAAAGTTGTGTAAACAAATAATACACGTCTATTTATTTAGAAATGATTCTATTCTATACATACGTATGATTTTTACATACGTATGGTACAATTCCAAGCTCCCTATATCCAATCTGTTGCAGGCAGTATCCCTAGGTGGCCAAGTCAAATCTATAAGTTTAATATTATAGTTCTATGTTATATATATATATATATATATATATATATATATATATATATATATATATATATATATATATATATATTATATATTAAAGCATTTGTTTTATTTATAGAAACAACAACCTTTATCGTTGTCGAGTCAACCAAGCAGTTTATTAAGTCTCTCATCTAGATCACCTTCTATTGTTATTAAACCACGACAAATCACTGAACAAGTTAATTGCTCCGTTGAGATTCCTACCAGTAGTTTTATTCTTCCTCCAAGAGATGATGCTGCAGAGTATGATGATTCTGGGGATACTCATAATATTCAAGATGATACAAAGTAAGTAAAATTTATGTCATATATACAATGCGCGTCTACGGTTTTCCCATAACGTATTTTCTGAACTTTAAAACTTAGTGAATAAATTTTTAGTAATTGAAGTAAGGTTCATAGTCTTTATAACGTGACATTGTGGTATTATTCCTAAAATATTATAATTCATATAAAGAATAAGTTAAAACGAAAAAAGTGTAACATAGTTTCGCATTTTGTTTATATAAAATATATTTAATAATTTGAATCGAGGACAATCATAAATATACTCGAATTAGAATTTGTAAGTCAGCACTATTGCCAATCACGACATACGGTTGTCGTAGGTCTTTAACAAACTTGACACACTAAGAAATAAACTGCTGATATATGCAAGGCCTACTATAAAAGCGATAACAATCATTATCTCAGAGATCAGAACTAATTTAACGTCAAGATGGCAAGTTAATGTATCGCGTATTGATAATTATGAGGGAGTCTCATATCAACTTCACATAAGTATGAACTACGATTAGACTAAGTAATGTTAAGTAAAAGTGTATTGTTGTGTTCTAAATAACATAACATAATAATATCTTTATTTTTAGAAAATAATATACATTCCGTGAACATAAAATTATGTCCTCCACAGAATATGGCTCAAGAGCTACCAGTAATTTAAATATTTGATGTTTATACAAACTTAATCTTTCCTCCCTTTTAATAGGTTCAGGTAGTTTATTAAACAATTTGATACAGCAATAAAGAGCGTTTTTTTCTGTTATACTTAACCTGTGTATTGGAATTTTATAATTATATAACCTGGTATTTACTATACTATTGGGCTTAAAGTTCCTAAAGAGTATTTTATTTTTATATAGAAACAGTAAGCATTCTTGAATAAATACAGCGTAAACTGTTAAAATATTATTACCCCTAAAATGCCCTCTACATGATTCCCTACTTTTTAAGTCAAACATAACTCTGATTATTTTTTTCTGAACCAGAAATACATTATTTATGTCCCTACTGTGGCCAAAATTTATTAAACCATATCTAAATTTTGCTTCAAAATTAGCATGATACACTGTTTTTAATGAACTTTGATAGTATACAAGGCAACTATCGAACACAGTGATTAAAAGTACTTTCGATCAATAGATCATCTTCAGGGGCATTTCGTCAGTTGTGGCCTATCCGACATGAGTAGAATATCATACATGTAAATTTGGACATAACAATACAATACACAAAGACAAACAATTCTTTCTGATTCGGATTCTGTCTCCGGCTTCTATATAACATGTAGCTTCTCCTTTTTAAAAATTTTAAAGTGTTTGTTTGTCTTTGTGTATTGTATTGTTATGTACAAATTTACATGTATGACATTCTACTCATGTCGGATAGGCCACAACTGACGAAATGCCCCTGAAAATGATCTGTTGATCGAAAGTACTTGGGCAAGATTTAATTAATCACTGTGTTCGATAGTTGCATTGTATACTATTAAAGTTTAATTATTCGAACATTCAACCTTATATTGACTTGTTTTTAATGAGTTACTATTCATGTATTTTTTTAGAACTCTAAAGCTGTAAATCACTTTACTCAAAGACATACTTAACTGGTCAACATGTTTATCCCAACATAAAAAACTGTCAATATATAATCCTAAAAATTTGGTATTGCTGCTAATATTTAAAGTGTCATTATTTACAATAATACTGTTTGGCATATCTGAATGTGCATAATTTGTCTTAAACAAAAGAAGATATGTTTTATTTTGATTTAAAATCAACCTATTCATAGAAAACCAATTTTTAGCTTTCTGGAACTCTAAACTAGCATTAACGCTTAGAACAGACATGTCTTTACCACTGACTAAAATGTTTGTATCATCTGCATAATTTGTTATGCTGGAAGTAGTATTAGCCACTAGACCATGAAGATCACTGATATAGATCACAAACAGGACCAATCACACTTCCTTGTGGTACTCCAATATTGATAGTGCTTTCAGATGAGATGCCTATTTCAGTGTTTTTATATATTTTTACTAAATGTCTCCTATTTGCCAAGTAGGACTTAAACCAGTTCAATGCTGGTCCACGTATACCATATTTCTCCAATTTATCAAATATGTCATACACTAAACAGTCATATGCCTTTGATAGGTCCAAAAAGAGACCCAAAGTCATATGACCAATCTCAGTACATTTCAAAATATCCCAGACAAATTGAAAAATCGCAGTCTGAGTTGATTTTCCCTGTTGATAACCATGCTCATTTGCACTAATAATATGACATGTTGTTAAAAATTCTGTTATCCGCCTATACATAGTCATTTCTAAGATTTTTGAAAAGGAACATAGAAGGCTAATTGGTCTATAGTTATTAATTAATTTAGGATCACCCTTTTTGTAAACAGGTGTTACTATGGCAGTTTTCAGGCATTCAGGAAATACACCAGATTTTAGTGAATTATTTATGATTGTAGTGAGAGGATTCACTATCTCCTTTATAAAAAGTTTAAGGATTTTAGTGGGTATTTCATCAATTCGACAACTCATTTTGTTTTTTAAATTTTTAGTTATATCCATAATTTCAGTTTCTGTCACAGGTGCGACAAACACTGAATTTATGTTACTTGCAATGTTGTCTTTATATTCAGTGTACCTATTGTAATAGAGATAAATTGTTATTTAAAGAAGTATTTAAGTGGATCATGTATTTATCAGCAATCTCTTGAGGACTACCCTCTACTTTTATTGAATTTACACTTTTTAATTGACCATTAATTTCACTAACAATTTGCCACATGCATTTATTTTTGTTGGCAGCTAAACGGCCATTTAATTTAACAACCCGTTATTTACCATTACGACATTGTTTACCATAACATACTGACATATGACGCATGGGCAAAGAACCATGAACTCAACTTTACTGTAGTATATTAACCAAAAATAAGTTTTTAGTTTGATTTTGAATTATATTTAAATTATTAGAGTTAAGTTAATTAAAGTGGCTTCTGAAACATATTTATTTATTATTTTTAATAATACATAAGACCATTTGTGTAAGACAATTTGGTAAATTTTGTAAAATATTCATTATTGCATTTACTTCTGAAAGATATTTTGTAGATTTTCATACATTTCTCTTCTTCTAGGTTGGTAAAATGGAGAAAGTCTAATAAAGCCTTTATAAAGCTCCGTATAACACCAAATGCTGATCTGCCGATAAACACCGAGGTAGTTTGTGGTTTTGTGATGCAGCATATTTACACCAACGCTATTACGGGGCAGCTCGAAAAGAAGGAACCGCAAAAATACGATCATAGAGTAAAAGTATTTTTAACACTTGGAAAACTAGTAGGATCTGAGTAATTTTTAATTTAGTGTAGCGATCACAGTAAAAATAAATTATTAAATCTGCAAATAAAATAGCAATGCCAGCAGAGTTCGATATTAAAACAAAAAAGTGAGGATTTAATATAAAATTAATAATATTTTCAATTTATCCCATATGTGTTGTAGTTAATCTGTATTATAAAAATTTACTAAATATTAACTAAAAAATGATTGATTAACAGTTGGCTTTTCATGGAAACTGGTTGTTCTGCTGCTTAAGTATCCATGAAACAGGTACAATAAGGAAGCCTGTTATGACTCTGAGCTGATTCCTGCTTGTTTTCCGCAGTACTTCAGTCCTATTACTGCATGTCTGTCCAATATATAAATTTGCTATGTATTTGACCAGGTAAAGTTTCCAGTGAGAGTTATTCTACTTTCGCATCCAGTCTTTTTTTCGGTCGAGGGCGATGCTTTTTGACAATCTCCCACGGCGGGCTCTGGACCAAAGTATTTTGTCGCTGGTGCTCTTCTGCTCGGGCTCTTTAATTGCCGTATATTTCTCGGTGGTCTGGAACCTATACCAGCGTGACACTGTTGTGTTCTGACAATAACTGGCACATACCAACACTAGCCTAGAGTCCACTTTAAAGCTTAGAAGTGTCCCCATGGCTGCTTGGCTATCTGCAAATATCTAAAACCGCGTCAGTTCGAGGCGGGCTTACATATGTAAGCAATCCTGATAATTTCTCTTGTACACTGCAAGATTGCAAACATTTCTTCCTAAAATACAGAAGTATATGCTCCTCCTCCTCCTTCTCAGTGCTAATCCCTTTTGGAATATGGTGACACCATCAGGTCTTTACAGTTTTTTCACGATATCCCTCTATCCTTCTCTGTCCTGGGCTAGTTATTCGGCTTCATGTAACCCTTGATTAATCATAATTTTTGTTTGATCTACTCAACGGCTTGGAGATCTTCCTCTAGGTCTCTTTACTTCAACTCTACCCTCGACTATCAGTTTTTCCATCATACCTGTTCTTCTAGCAATGTTTCCATCTAATACTGCAAATATCTCTGTTGTATTTGTTTGAGCAATCAATCCAGGATAATCTCAACATGCGGCGGTGTACCCACATTTCAAAAGCGTCTAGTTTATTTTTATCCGCTTTCTTTAAGGTCCACGTTTCGGATGCATATGTGGCTATGGGAAAAATGAGCGCCCTTACCAGCCCTACTTTTGTGTGTATTGTTATGCTAGAATTTTTCCAAATTGCTACCAGTTTCATCATAGCTGCACCGTCCCTCTCGTGGCAGAAATTCACTTGAAAAGTTACTTTAGACCTATATCTGGATGCTATATGGTCAAAAATTATCATCCATTATGTATCCCTAATTTCATTTATAATGTTACCATGTCCTGATCTAACTGGTACGTTGCTCATGTTTTCTTGCAGTCTCTAATATCCCATCACCCCCCGCTCTCTAATCTCCCCTTGATTACAATGTGTAAATGAGGGCTTCGGCGTGTAAATGCCGTTGCTGTGCCATTCTTAACCCCTGGGATTCCGAGGCAAGCAAGTCTTTTCACCTTGATTAATTTGAGTCTTGCACTTTTTTGCTACAATTTTGGCCATCATACCACTCATGCATTTGTTGGTTTTACCACCATTACCAATATTATCCCAAGATACTTTACTTCACTTACCATACCTGAGATAAGACGGCCAGTGTAATTTATTAATTTAAAAATGGAATATGCGGGACATTTTTCAAACCAGTGTATCAGTTATTTTTATAAAAAAAATAATTATCCACAGACGGCTCAGTTATTGTCATCATCTTCTAAACTGGTTGCGTCGTATAGTTCCGAAATTGATGGTGGTACACAAATCTTGAGGAAGATTTGACCTTATTTTTTGTCTACTAAGTTGGTTTTTCGGTGATGTTATATTAAAGATTACTGTTGATTATAAAAAATATTTAGCTTAAGCAAATTTTTTCAAGTTAATTTAATTTTACTGTGATTTTCATATATGTATATCTAACTTATATTTGCACTTTTTTGTTTACAGCTTAAGTTAATATTTATGTCAGCTTTCATTAGTGAGGTAAAATATGCTTTGAGTTTTTATATCTATTTAAATTATTTTATATATGCAATAAAAATATGAATGTTACCAGTTTTTGTTTTCTCAAATCCAAATTGTGACGAACTACCTATTTACATGCCATCAACCTTTGTAGCAATATCCAAAAAGTCAAGTGCAACCTGCTCACATCACAGAACAATATCTTTAATGAGTCACATACTTAAAACTTTTTAAAAATAATACTAGAATTGTTAAAATTCTTGAATTTGAAATTAATGACACAATTTGGCTTTAAAAATGGTATGGACAAAAGAGATGCTTTGTTTGGCTTGAATGTGTCCCAGAGATGCATGTACATGAATCTACTTATTTCTAAAGGGATTTGATAAGGTTCAACATAAAAAAAATTAAAAAACCAAATATATTAACAGTCTAATCAATGAAAATTATATTATCTAATCTATATTGGAATCAAACTACCAAAGGTAAGAGTTGATGACCATAACACCCAAGATATCAAAATACAGATAGGGTTACGAGTTGTCCCACTACTCTTCAATGTATACAGTGAAATGGTTTTTAAAGAAGCGCTCTCAGATTCAATGTATAGCTTTTTTCGCGAACACAGTCCCCAACTACTTCGGCAAGTTTCAGACCAGTTAGGGATTATTGTATGCTGGTGTGGTTAGTTATTAGTTTCCAACTTTAAATTCCCGCTAACGATTTTGGGGCATTTTTCACTGTTTCTAATTTCAAAACAGACCAAAGTTTCTAACCTTAACCGGAAAGGTCACATTTTGAAAACAATGGAGAAGTCTGGTCTCTCTGAATGAACTATAACCATTCTTTATTTCTACAAAAAATGTTATAATCCTGATGCTCCTAACCTAACCTCTTTGCTTCTAAAATGCTCTATTATTTCTAGCTGTTTTGCAGGTATAACATTTACAGAACTCGTTTCAAAATATTATAAAAAAAAAACGAGGTAAATCTAGAAAACACTGTATTTTTTAAGAAAACCAGGTACCACTGAAAAAAAAATTTCATTTTTTTTTATTCCATTTTATTTTTCTGAATGAAATGGTATATTAAACTTGAGCATTCCTAAAAAATTGCATTGTTTAACTTGAGGAACATGTATGTAAAAAACTATTATAGATGACTTGATTTTTGTTTACAACATCGTGCATTATATAAACATTCTGAAGCAGAATTAGACTGAAAAAATATTTCTATTTTAAATAACAAATTTAAATGTTCATAAACGTGAAAACATTTTTTAAACAAAAAAAAGTAATGAAGTTGTTCGGTTCATGATAGTTCAGATTGTGTATTATCTGTTTCAAGAAATGACTGCAACGTTTGGTAGCCCCAAGAGCAACAGTCTATAAAATATGTGTTCCTAAGTAAAGGATAAAATAACATGTAGTCTTGTATTATGGGACCAGGCCAGCGCTTACCAGTAGTACTTGATTACCAAACATCTGAAAAAACTTATTTAATTGTTATATAAACTCTAACATCACAAAGTGTTAATTTTACTTTAAGCAATAACACTGGTATTGGAAACGCTACTCTACCACAATGTGCAACTGAGGCGACGTTTCTGGGGGTACATTTGAATGTAGGATTAACCTGGGAACAACATATAGTTAATCTATCAAAAAAGCTTTCCCAACAACTTTTCCTTTTCAGGAACCTTGTACCAGTGACTTCCAGGGAAACTATTATGTTTGAACAAAGAAAGTGTGTTCATATTATCTCTGGGCTCTGTTATAGAGCAGACTGTGTAGAAACTCCTATAGAGCTTTTAAAATTTTAACTTAACCTTGTGTAAACATTATGAAGTGTTTTTTGCACATTAACAAAATCTTAGCCAATACAGCATGTAGATTTTCACAATTATCCAGATCCAGAATTGGTTCAAGGTATTTAGCCATAAAATTCTACATCATAGTGCCAGCTAGAATAAAAGCTCTTATTTTTAATCAGTGTAAGGCAAAAATTAAGAGTTACCTTATAGTGAATCCACTTTTTATATGGGTATGAGGAGTATTTTGATTTGTCGTAATTGTCAACTGTATTAGTTAAAACACTGTTTCTATGTTTTATATTTGTGTATATTGACTATACTGACATTTTTTTATCTTTGACTTGTAAAAAATACTTTTGTATTAATTTTTTACTGATAAACAATCTATCTACTAGTAACAGTAGTCCTGCTTTTGTTCTAGAATATTTAATTAATGAAGATATAATTCTTCATGACTATTGAGTTTTATTGTCATTTTGTTAATAGAAATACAATCAGTAATTGAATCATTTATTGTTGAAAGGGAGTAAGCACTATTTTTGACTGTTTTTGAGTTACAGTAAAAATTCTTGTCTCTTTCTATATTCGCATCATTTGATGTTAAAGGGAAGTAAGTGAAAGTGTAGAAAGGTAAGCGATATCGCTGCCGCCCTTTTAACAACGACGAACCGTCAAAAATGTCACGTCACATGGTTTAGTCCAAGTTATCAGTATCAGTATGTTAAGATTAAAAATCCTTCACTTGATGATGCGGCCAAAAGGACTGCTGCTGCTAAGCTAATCGTTCACAAATGTAAAGTTACAAAATTTTATACATACCTCAAGGAATCCGAAACTCATAGCAAAACCAATATAATAGTTTTTTTGCATTTTTCGTTAAGATCTAACTTGTCTCCTTTCAACAATAAACGCTTTAATTACTTATTTGCGGTATTTTATATTTGGTTTGTTTATATTACACAAAGTTTGTATTATTATTATTAATGCATTTGGCAATACTGAAAACAGTACAAACAGTTCCTAACAGTCTTTAGTGGATTTCATCATAATTGTCTCAATAATCCTTTATGGATTTTAGCAACTTCCCTGTCTTATCATCCTTTTAAACTTTTCTTCTACATTATCAATCCATCTTGGATTGATAATGTAGAAGAATTTTATTTCTCAGATGTTTCTGAAGACCATAGAGTTCTGTTTTGCTATTGTTATGCATCTTTCTACTTCATTGCTTGTTGTGTTTGTCTTTATTGTTTATATTGCATAAATTATTGGTCATTTGGCATATTTCTCAATTAAATTTCTTGTAAGCAAAGTAAATTATTGTTTTTTAATACAATACTAAAATTGTTTTCTATAAATCTTATTACAAATATTTAGTGTAAGTAAAAAATTTGTTCAGTGGACACAATTTTTTTCAGGAAAGACTGTAAAAGCGTAGAGATTTTTAATATAATATTAATTTTGATCGATTGCAGAAAAGAATTGAGAACATTTTTACCAATATCAGTTAGTTATATAAATGGTAATTTTTTAATAATTGATTTATCTTTTTTGGATTATTTTATAATACTGTATATAACGTTATAAATATATTTACAATCAAAATGCTTACCACTTTACTGGTATTTTTGTTTGCTTTACTTTTAAGAGCTTGTGTTAAAAACATTGTTTCCTGTAGAATATATTTGTTTCCATATATCTTAGTTGGCAGTAATTACACAGTGGAGTAAGTTTGCTTTGTATCCTCTAAGAGTTCAAAAAAGTTAAGGGTATGCATATCGTCTTTCTAAATGAATTTTTTTAGTTTTATTGCGAAAATTTATAAACAATATGAAAAATAAAGGACTAACAAAACATGTAATTGCTCAGTCAAATTTTATTGAATGAACATGTTATATACTTAAATATATAAACAAAAATTGCAATAAATCGATAGATAAAATAGACACAGTCTACAATCTACGACCACGGCGACCTCCCTTCCTACGTGTGGAATCAGATGGAATTGGAGTCACATCTTCAATCCTACCAATTTTCATGTTAGAACGAGCCAAAGCTCTGAGTGCACTTTGGGCTCCTGGTCCAGGGGTTTTTGTTTTGTTACCACCTGTGGCCCTCAATTTGATGTGGAGTGCAGTAATTCCTAATGTTTTGCATTTTTCAGCTACATCCTGCAAAAAAAAAGTAGAATCAAAATATTGGCATTTTGCAGTTGATATTATATTTTTAAATTATCCGTTTACAGCAATGTAATAATTTTAATTACTGATATGTACAAAGTTCTATACGTAACAAAAGAGGAGCAGACATCGCAAGTGACCATCATCTTGTAATCGGTACCATTAAAATCAAAATGGCAAAAAACAAAATCACACGAAACACCAAACGACCAACATACAATCTAGACAAATTAAAAACGGCTACAGGAAGACACATGTTTAGGGAGGAACTTCAACTCAAAAGAAGAGAACGTGAAGTAAATAGCTGGGAAGATCTGGCAAATGTTTTGACAGAAATAGCTGAAGATAAACTCGGTAAAAAAAAGAAACAGAAAAGAATGGATATCAGATGAAACTTGGAATCTTATCGAAGAAAGAAAACAGCAAAAAAAAGATATTCTGCAAGCAAGAACTGTAGAAGAAAGAGCGAACCGACAACAAGAATATGAAACAATAAATAAAGCAGTTAAAAGAAATGCAAGAAGAGACAAAAGAAGATGGACTGAAGAACTGACAAAACAAGCCGAAATAGCTGCACAACACAATAGAACTAGAGAGCTATACCAAATTACCAGACGTCTAACAAAAAGTGGGCCCAACTGTTCAAACGTCGTAAGATCCAAGACAGGAGAACTACTTACTACAACAAATGACCAAATAGAGAGATGGAAAGAGCATTTTCAGGAGATGCTAGGCACGCCCAGGGATAACGCAGATGAAATTGTCGAAAATCCACAGAATATAGACTTGCGTATATCTTGCGACGCCCCTTCCAAAACAGAGATAATAACAGCTATCAAATCTCTGAAAAATAACAAGTCTCCGGGAATCGATAACATTGCTGCCGAAATGCTTAAAACTGATCCGCATCTAACTGCTGAACTTTTGCTCCCCATAATCCGAGAGGTGTGGGAAACAAACCGCATTCCAGCGGGCTGGAAAAAAGGCATCATTACTAAGCTTCCAAAAAAGGGCAACCTCACACTATGTAAAAATTGGAGAGGAATAACCTTGCTTACCGCCATAAATAAAATCTTCACGACCATCATACTTAAAAGATTAACAAACAAGGTTGAATTTCGAGCTAATCAAGTAGGCTTTAGACCAGAATCCTCCTGCATAGACCACATTAATACTGTGAGGCTAATAATGGAACAATCGGTTGAATGGAACACACCCCTATACATGGTTTTTGTTGATTTCGAGCATGCTTTTGACAGCTTATCTCATGATGCAATATGGAAAATTTTAGAGCTAAGAAACATCCCGCATAAAATAATTTCCATTATAAAGTTACTGTACACTGAAGCGAAATGCAGCGTGACACACAATGGGATCAACAGTGACGAATTTGACGTACTTACTGGAGTCAGACAGGGATGCGTGCTTTCTCCGTTTCTTTTTAACATAGCTCTAGACTATGTTCTCTCCAAACTAGACTCTGACACAAGAGGGATACAATGGACGTTAACCACACGCCTAAGCTATCTAGAATACGTCGACGATATCTGCCTGTTAGGACAAAGGTTCCAAGATGTGGCTGACCAATTGGAAACACTTTCCACTGAAGCCAATAAAATAGGTTTGAAAATCAATATTGGTAAAACCAAATCCATGAGAATAAATGCAAGAAACAACACACTATTCACCATTAATAACATGCAGATTGAAAATGTGGAAAACTTTACGTATCTTGGAAGTGTCATAACAGAAAGCGGAGGTACAGAAGACGATATTCGTATGAGGATACGAAAAGCGCAACAAGCTTTCAGCCTGCTCAACCCTGTTTGGAGGTCGGGAGAATACACTACGAGGACAAAGATCCGCATATTCCAGTCAAATGTCATGTCTGTACTACTTTACGGATGTGAAACCTGGAAAGCGACAAAAACCCTTACAGACAAACTGCAGGTCTTTGTTAATAAATGTCTACGAAGAATTGTTCGTATTTTCTGGCCTAACATCATCAGAAACGAAGACTTACTACACCTGACCAAACAAAAGAGGGTAGTAAATGAAATAAAGTCCAGAAAGTGGGGTTGGATCGGTCACACACTCCGAAAAAATAACTCCAGTATTGCAAAGACTGCCCTAGAGTGGAATCCCCAAGGAAAACGAAAAAAAGGTCGCCCAGTACAAACTTGGAGAAGATCCATCATGGACGAGATAAGAAAACAAGGAAAGTCTTGGAATGAGGTGAAGGCCTTAGCGCAAAATAGAACCCGATGGCGCGTTTTCACTGAAGCTCTATGCTCCACTTAGGAGTTCAAGAACCTTATATATATATATATATATATATATATATATATATATATATATATATATATATATATATATACAAAGTTCTAGATCCATTCTAAGATTCTAAAATCTTACTTTAAGATCCAGTGGTCAAATTATCATATTAAATAACAGTTGCTGATGTTAGTCCATTAGTAACAAGTTGGAGATTATTAGCAAAGTGAGACAGGTACTCAAATCCAAATTAATTATAAATTATCTTACCACATTTGTAGATATTAAATTATTTATTTTTAGTAAAAGATTTTAATTCTACAACTTTAAATAAAAAATACCAAACAACTATAATTAGTCAGCAATAATTGTATCTTAATTTCAGTGTAATATGATTCCTCTATGATGAAATAATCAAACAAAAGTTGCACTAATTTAATGGAAATTTTTAACATAACAGTGAATATAAAACATGAAAATCTAACAACAAATTTATTTAATAATCTGTGTTTCCTCCAGCAGCATTAATTACAGCTTAACCCTGCCTTGATATTCTTAAAGTTAAATTAGCAATTTAATTTTCAGCCAATATGATACATTCATTTATAAGATCTTGAAGACCTTGAAGCTTGATGGGATTAAGATATGGTGATTATGCTGGCCATAGTAAAAGTGTAATATCCTCATTATGAAACCTCTTACTATTGCTGCAGTATGTGCCCTGAATTATCCTAAATGTTATTGCAAATCAGGACCCACAGCAGTGGCAAATGTAAGGACAACAGGTTCTAAGATATGATCAGGATATTGATATTAATTTAAGTGCCTTATACAGAAACAGGAATACTATGATAAAAAATTATTCCAGTCCACATCATAACTTGTAAACCACTATATGGATGAACACCCTGTACATGCCTTGAATCAAGGTAGAGACAAAACCTAGCTCTGTCAGTAACACAGAACTTCATTCGTGTAAGCCCCAATACACATGTTGTTGTGTCCAGCTTAATCTGAGTCCACGATTTCCATAATGTTAACATGGGAACAGTCAATAGACATCTGGTCTGGCATGCAGGCTAGTTTCATGTTATCCATTCCTCAAAATTTGGTCACATACAGTAATGTTGTGTGTATTTTCTAATGCCCCACAGAGTTCACATGTAGTTTTATGCACATTTTGACAAGCCAATCCTACCACATACCAATCATGTCAGGAATAGTTACATATTGATAACCTACATGTCTTCCAGCAACATTAATTGTTAATATTGACACCACAATCACGAAATTACACTCAGGCACACATCAAAATGATGTGCAACATCAGCTCTACAAATTTCAGCCCCAATCAAATTCACAGCACTTACCATTTGAACATGTGTTAAATGCCAATGCTCCATGACTATCTTTGCATTTAATAATATTGTTTAAGTAAAATTTTCAAGTAAATAAAGAGTTTCTTTAAAATTTTAAGCAATTAATCATATGAATTTGAGGTGCTGTCACTTTGGCCTTAATAAAACAATGCAATTGACAGATCAAGTTTCATGCCATACCTTGATTTATAGAGAACAAGTTTTCAAATTGAATGGTACCTATGTAGTAACAAAAAAGTGTTTAGTTTTTTATTGAAAAAAGTAGAATATTGCTGGGGTTCATTAGACTTTTTTATGTGTGTTTGCTAGTAAGAAAGCAGTAATTTTCTGTTAAAATATGTAATTAAAAATCTAAATTTTTACTTTTCAAAATAAAACATTTTTTATGAAAATTGCAACACTGATAGAATTATCATGATATGAAAGGAGTGGCATGATTGTCATTTTTTGTTGTTTCATGCTGGTAATTGGAAAAAAATAAAGACATCATCTAGAAAATGTTGCAATGAAGGTAGCTACAAAGAACATCCATAGAAAGAAATATTTGCATTTGACAGTGTTGCCATGTCCTTAGAATGTATGTGTTGTATGCCTCAAGTATACACAGAGAAAGCTTTGAAAAAGTACATTTTTATTATATTATTTTATTATATTATTTTATGGATTCTGCAATTTTTAATTTATATAAAACACAAACAAATAAATATTTGTTTCTTTCAATATTAATTCAGTTAATTATTAGAAATTTTTTGGCAATTGCATTAGATAGATTAATGGATAGATTTGGAAATCCACAAACCAACAGTTGCCAGATTGGAACAGACACCTTTTTAACTTCATTATTTATACTGAAATGTTACTATTTACTGTTTTAAAACTATTATAAGTACTTATTCTCTTTTGATAATTCTAAACTATTAATTTATCTTACTGCTATTTCATTTATTTTTAATGTACATTTTAACACTGCCAAACACTAATTTTTTGTTATGTCATGCATAATTTGTAGCTACCTTCACTGCAACATTCGCTAGATTTTGTCCAAACGAACCATAGTTTAAAATATATAAAATACATGAAAATTAACTTTCAGCACAAAACATATTGTTCATTAACTTAAACCGGATTTATAAATGGACATAAACATAATTTTAGTCTTTAACCATAATCTTATTATATAAGCATAATGTTAAAAGTTAATACATAAATGTACCCATTTAAAAGCATCCATAATACATGACATAAATTTAGTCCTTAAAATGTGACCTTGAAAGTTGGTAACTTTCAACATTTATGAATTAAGTATTAAACATTATGGAATTGTTGGAATATGCGCATGCGTTGGTAGAATCATCTGCAGTTTCCTCCTATAAATAGACCTTCTTTATCACGCTTTCTATTTATAGGTCTTACACCAAACCTTCTAACTCTTCTTTGCTTGTTAATAACTATTGCAGATATAGTTGCTACAAGTTGTAAATAAAGTGGGACTGCTGCCATGGCCAAAGCAACTTTTCTATTAATCTTCATATTTAAAATTAATTAATCAATTAAAATTATTTCACTTTTCTATGAATCTAAAGACCAGAAAAAAATTCTTCGTGCTCTATAAAAACTTGGTTAGGTTTGTTTTTCTGAAGTAGTTCTTAAATATTATGGTTAGGTATTATGTCTAGTTATAAACCAATCTTAAATTTTATGAATTATGATTGTGGTTGAAGTTATGTTTATGACTTATGATTATGTACTATGTCCGTTTATAAACCTGCCTTAACTTACTAAAGCAAAATCCCCTGATATAAATTTCTAAACCTTTTATTACACTAGAACAAAGTACTGTACGGTTGAGTTTACTGAAAGTACAAGCTGATTATAGCCGCAAATGTCAAACATGGAACAAAAAATTTCGATATAGCAGTGTTGGCATGTATTTATAATGTAGATGCTGTACCCTTCAGATATAAAAAGATAAAGCTTTAGAAAAGTACATTTTGTTTATATTATGTTATGAATTCTGCAATTTTTGATTTATATAAAAGAACAATGAGTAAATATTTGTTTCTTTGAAGAATAATTGCAATTATTTATTAGAAATTTTTTTAGCAATTACTCTTTCGATAGATTAGGGAATAGATTTGACAATCGTCAAATCAGCAGGTTGCTAGATTACAACAGATGTTTGCAATTAATCTCGAAAGAGTCAAATATCTACTAGTTATTTCTTCATATAAATTAAAAATTTCAGAATTCATAAAATAGTATATTTAAAATGTACTTTTTAAAAGCTTTAACTCTTTATATTTGAAGCATGCAACATATGCATTATAAATACATGCCAACACTGCCAAACCGAAATATTTTTGACATTTACAGCTATATTCATCTTGTACTTTTGGTAAACTCAACTGTGCTCTTCTAATAGGTATTTAGATAAAATATGGTATAATTACCATCACTTAATTGTGTAAAATGTCTGTCTAAGATCAATAAAATATATTTATCTTGGATATAAACAATATTTCCAATAATTGCTTTTCAGTAATGAGTAATCTGCAGTCTAAGTAAATACTTTGTAAATATTCCTGACCTACACAGAAAAATCTTTTGGTTGTTTTACAATATTAATATTGTTCTGAAGCTCTTTTCTTATGTTATATTTAATATATCATATTAAAATAAAAGGTTAAAGTCTAGAGAATGTTCCAATTGAAGTTAGCTAAATTAAAGTTAATATTTAACAATATTAACTTTAATTTTACTGTACCTTCATTTAGTATTATTCTCTTTGGAGATCTTATCAAAGGTAGTTAGTTTTTGTTTGTTTTAGTTTATAATTGATTTCATTTCTATTGTTTAGGCACCTTATTTTCTATAATTTTGAGATTCCTGATTTAGATACCTTTGCCCTATTAGTGGTCCCATATTTTTGGATATAGATATTAGTAAATTTCATGTAGATTTAAAAAACATCTATATTCAAGTAGAAATTTAAGTACTTTATTTATTACAAACATTAGGAATTGTTCTATCTAACGATTAAAATACAAAGGAAGAGGGGTACGAATTGAGAGATTTCGTGGTACAGGATCAAAAAGAGAACATAAACAATATCGAACTTACCTGGGCAGCTAACATAGCAGCGTAGGGAGAAGCTTCATCTCTGTCAGCTTTGACTTTCATACCTCCAGTGACTCTGGAGATAGTTTCTCTTCCAGACAAGTCAGTAACATGAACGAATGTATCATTGAAACTAGCGAAAATATGAGCTACACCGAAAACTATTTCACCTTCGCGAACTTGAGGTCCAAGTGATAGTTGAACTTCCTCTTTGGGTTGTTTTCCTTTTCTAGGGGCCATGTTTTAGCTAAAATTAAAAAAAGTTTGGTTAGAAATATCAACACAACCAACGTATAACAATTTTATTCTGGAAACATCGGCAAAATGTATCGCTAAGAATAAAACTTATATACGTTACAGTAAAATATAAATCTTAAGTAAGCATTATTTTACAATATTTTTCCTTATTAAAACGTTGATTTATATAAAAATAAATTATTAAAAAATACCTACAACTGTTCAAGCAATAGTTTTGCAAAAGAAGGTAAATGTTAGAGGGCGCTTTAGTAACAAACTGTCAAATTTGTTATTTGACATACGACATATACACTTACAAATAAAACCACCAGTGTCTCGCGCATAGATTTTCTACAAAATACATTGTCCAATAGTAGGCAACACAAAATGCAATTTAACAAAGTCTCCAATGACACCAAAACAATATGCATTCAACGCATCGAGTATGCTTCAACGTGAAAGAAAATAAAAAATAATGGCTATTAGCTCGGTTACTGCAATAACCAATGCGTAATGGTTACGACGGAATGCCAATAGTTCAGAATAGAAGTGATCCAGTAGCGTTTTATACTTTTGAAATTATAAGCAAAATGCGTTATTACTATTATTACCAAATCTAGTAAATTTATTACAATGTTTTTGTTTTTTGATAAATTACTGTAGTCCTAAACTTTCTTATTTTGTGTAAAAGTGGAAATCTTCTAAAGACTGTACCAATCGTACCTGGCGTGAGTGCAATTCAGAATAGATGGAGTAGCCGCGAACTCTGCCTCTGGCAAATGCTGAGTGGATTGAGTAACTTCTGCTCACTAACTACCAGTGCCGTTCTCAAGCCCGGATTAAGCAGGAGGGTTGGGCGACAGGCTAGTAACTAATCCCCAGAAAAAAGCATTAACTACGATAATAAACTAAAATACCTCATAACAGATGTTCAAGCAGTTAATGAACGAATTTGATTAAAATAAAGACTCGCTTCTTCAACTTATCCATAATAAACGTTCACTGCCCAACGAATGAGCAAGATGAGGACACCAAAGTAGCTTTGTACCAATTAGCAAACATATCACCTAACACCAACAACGACATCAAAATAGTTATACGTGACACAAAGGCAAAATTAGGAACTGAAAAAGAATACGTTCGAAGAATTGGGAGACATAGCCTACGTCAACGAATTCCTTGTAGAAAGAGTGCCGCACTACAGCTACCTCGGCACCATCATAAATGAAGAGTGGACCAACAATCAGAAGATTAGAGCACGCATCGGAAAAACTAGATCCACCTTTAATCGGATGAGGGCCTTCTTCAAGACTCACAACCTCTCTCTTCATACAAAAGTAAGAATACTGCGATGCTACGTCTTCTCTGTTCTTTTTTATGGTCTTAATCGTGGACCTTGAACGAAGGGATGTGACAGAAAACTGGAAGAATTTAAGATGTGGCTATATCGGAGAATACTTAAGATCCCGTGGACTGATCCAGTCACAAATGAGGATGTCCTCAGAAGAATGAATAAAAACTGGATACTACCATCAAATCTCGAAAGTTACAATTCTTAAAAAATAAAAATATTGTTAAAATATATAAAATATCAAAAATAAAAAACTATTTCCTACTTAAAGAGAAATCAAACGATTTCCACCCGACGAAATCGAAATCTAATACAGTCATTATGTTTTATTTCGTACTTGTTTCAGTTTCTCAACTCAGAAGAAAAATAGAAAGAAATTGATGCTTTGTTTGAGGAAAGATGGCATTTTCCACACTGCATCGGTGACATGGATGGCAAACACATTGATATATTTCCATCTTATAATTCTGGATATTATTTTTATTACAAAAGCAAACATAATATGGTTCTCCTAGTGATCACCATCATCAACTAGCCTCTAACGTCCACTGCTGAACATAGGCCTCTCGCATGCTTTTCCACTTAGTCCGATTTTGCGCCATCTGAATCCCATTTGTAGTTCACTCTTTTTATGTTATCTGTCCATCTCGTTGGGCGTCGACCTCTACTTCTGTTAGCTTGTATTCGGGGTCTCCATTCCAAAATTCTTTTTATCCACCGGTCATCAACTGATCTTGCTACATGACCTGTCCAGTTCCACTTTAGTGTTGTTATCCTTTCAATAACGTCTGCTACTGGTATTTTGGAACCAATGTATGGATTTCCGATGGCGGTGTTCTTCAGAACACATCCTTCTTTCGTGAGCTTAGTGAACGAGAGTTTACATATTCCTCATCCTGACGATGTTAATGGAAATTTCAATAATGTTCCCTACGTCGTTTAAGGTTTACGTTTCGTCAATTAAAGTCATTTAGTTAGATTCAGCCGATAAAGAGGTTCTTTCAGTTTCCAATAAATTTAGAGCCATGGAATGTAAAGAAACTAGTAATGGTTACTCGCTCTTTGCACAATTTGTTCATTAACTTTTTCTTCTCTTATCTATATTCATCGGTTGTAGTAATAATAAACTTAGATGTAAAACTCGGGGAAAATAAGTGAAGTCGATTTGTTAAAGTTTAGTGCACTTGATTAATTTTTTTGAATCTCACTCGTATCCCGTGATATAATATTTACATGGAACTTTATGACAGTGGTTTTTTAAAGTTTAAAGTAAGATAATCTGCTGGTCGAAAAATTATAATTTTTACTTACACGAGTATATTTTTAAATCATAATTAGATAAGACATAGTTTTTGTAATATAAATTAGTTATTAGAAATCCCAAGACATTTGTGTGACTATCAAAGCTTAAAAATTTAAACTCTGCCCACCATATTGATCATTATGAATTGAAATGACATCCTATGAACTAACTAAATACATTCATCTTCAGTAATTCTTGAATTTTGGATAACTATATACTAAATTGTGTTACATGAATTTTAAAAAAGCTGCTTGAAAGCTTAGGAGCCTGAAACAATGTTCTCGTGGTCTGTTTGCTCAATGACAAACTTTTTGACATTGCTGAATTTTGAATTTGGGTCTCAATTATGTGTGTAAATTAAATAATAGATGGATGAATGTTCCTACTAGCCATTGCTTGTTAATGTAATTATGCACTTAATATACAGTAATTAATTAAATAAATACTTTCAGTTGTGACAAAAAATAGAGAAAAAAAGTTTCTAAAGGCATTCAAACCCTCTAGACCTAAGTATAATATTAAACCCTCTGTAGAGGAATTTTGTGTAATTGTTTTTGCGTAAAAGAATTATTTTGCTTAAAAAATATATAAATAAAGCATAAGCGACATCTTTCAAAATTTTCTTATATTCAAAGTAAAGTTCAATTTTCAAATTCTTGCTCCCCTATTTTTGTTGCCGAAAAATAGCGCTCTCTAGCGGGCTTTTGTATTAATAAGATTTTAGGGAGTTCGACCTCTAGGTTATTTAATAGAATTCTGTGAATGTTAGAGGTTAGAAACATCTTAGCACCTTTCATCGTAGACTATGAAAATAAAATATATAACTGTTTTATAATACAAAATATACTACATTTATAATATATACATAATTTTAGATAAAAATATTGTGTTCTTACTGAACAAATGTTATCTGCCCGAACCCGAAATGTAAAAAGTATTTAAAGCGATCTACTACATTTTAGGCGTTATACAGTTTTTCTTGTGTTCATAGATGGAGACTCTGACAGGTCATTGACTAAATAAAGGGGAGGAAAGACGTAAAGAAAGTGACAATCTGACAGTGGTTTAGCCATGCAGGGGCCAGTGCGAGTGCTAATGCCAGTGGTCGGATGGGTAGCGAACCGTTTTCAATAGGCAGTCGCCATATTTGTTGTTATCATTAAATGGGGGAGATAGCAAAAACATAAATAGCCCTTTCTTGTACGAACTATTGAGTGAAAGTATAGAGTGTATGATTTTTTCAGTAATCCAAGTCGATCCTCCAAGGGGGATGAATCAGTGAGTGTTTTTGTGCAAGGGGGCAGCTCTTTGTTTGAAACTGGCGACCGCTGGGGGTAATATAGCCGGTGGTGGCAATGATGAGCCGCCCGCGATGCTCGATTGGGGGGACCGTGAGGGTGACAGGTTCAGTTTCGAAGACTCTGACAGGTTCGAGGAAGATTCTTTGTGCAGTTGGAGCTCGGAACCAGAAAGCCTTTGCAACAACTGGAGAGGATGGAAGAAACCTTCTGCTACTTCTACCACTTATTTTGGTGGCAGCAGGAGATTTAGTGACCGTAAGTACACAGTTTCTTTGTTAAGAAAAAAACAAAAAATTAATCCATAATAGATTTTTACTTTCAATGTCTCACAAAACAAACTGCTATTATTTCGGTTATTTCTCATTTCTGAATAAACAACAAATTTCTTATTTCTGTTTTTGATTCTCTTCTTTTCATAAACATCTAACAGTAGCTAAGCAGTTATAATTTTGTTATTCATATTTTGTTTGACTTAATGATATACATGTAAAAAAATAATTTTTTTTCTATCACCTGCTGCAACTCTAGGTACCTAGCTTAATATAATGTACCACCACAATAAATATATTTTCATTGTGTTATTTTGTGTAGTACTGTCAGTGGTGTATGAAGTGGGGTCAATGACATCCATTGTTTGTTTATTATTTTTTGTCCTGAAAGTAGAATAAAGGTTTTAAGATTTTATGGAACATAACATAAACCATACATGTATAATACAACAATAATTACTTATTCAATTTTTTATGTTTATTTCATATTATGATTTCACATAATATTCTTAAATATCTTTTATTTATTACATTTATATTTTTTAATTTTATTTGTTATATTACATTGTACCTGCTGATATCTTTTATATTTTTTATACAGTATAAAATCATTACAAAAAGGTAGTAATTTTCAGGGTTCTATTTTTTATTATAAGTACTAACTAGCCTTTAGTGTAGTTTGATCAAAACTTTTCAATTTGGTATACAATAATAATAAAAAAAAGATTAATTTAAGGAATAATAGTAAAATGATCTGATAAAGTATTATGTAGAGGGAAACTTGAATGGTAAAGTATAGTAAAATTAGAAGAATCTAATTGGAGAAGACAAAAATGAAAATAAAACTAAATACTTATGCTGCATATCTATAAATATTATTAATTTTTATAGTAGTTGCTTGCATACCAGGTATATAATATATATTCAAGCTGTTAATACTTTTGCCTGGATTTTCTTGATTTATAGGTATGAGATTAATAAAACTTTAAATGTGGTTCAAACATTTCCACAAATTGCAATTTTAACAAAGACTTTATTATTTATAACTTACTATATTTATATTTGAAATTATTTAATTATTTATATTTTTCTTTATTAAAAAATGCAAACATCTACCAGTATGCAGGCCAATGATAAAAATAAAATTCGTAATTTTTAATCGTATGTCAAAGAATGCACAATAATTTCTTCTTAAAACTCATACAAAAAAAGTTCTTAAAAATTCTTAAAACAAAGAATTGCTGTGTCATATAATAGTAACAAAAAAAGATCTCCATGAAATGGATGAATTATCTTGAGTATACATTATTATTGAAAATTAGGTCAGGAATTATGATTCTCCGTAAGATTCTAGAAAAATTTGTAAAAAGTAGCATAGGTTGAAATTTCTTATTTTTGAGTTATTCATCTTTGCTCAAAAATTTTCACAGATAGAGACAAACTTTTCAAAGTTAATATCTCATCCATTTACAATCATAATGTGTCAAAAACTTCTGCACATAAAGAGTAGGTTTTCAATCCAATTTCTAAATACAGGGTGTTCAGAAATGACACAGGGTTCCCTATACTAAAATTAGACTTTTGGAGATAATTGGGGTTTAATGTTCACTCCAATGAGTAATATGAATTGTGCCTATTAAACATTACGTTTTTTGAAAATTTTAATTTGTCATAATATATAATATTCTTCAAAAATTCATTATCTTCTTGGCACTTTATTGTTACAAATTCTGTTCTTTTATTATAGTCGGTTTCCTTTAAACTCTTTGTTTACTTAAAATTCAACTTTGAATTGTAGTGTAAAAATAGTGATGAAGTTTTTTGATTTTTTTTAATTCACTTAACAACCTAATGACGCTTCGGGATAAGCTTCATAGTAACCTAGAACATTAATAGTCTTTGCTTTGTTAACTTTTTGTTAAAAACATCCAAAACGTGTTAAATTTTTAAAGTAATCTATTCAGAGTATCACAGGTAGTTCGTAGTTGATCTGGATAACTTTTAGCAAATTTTCCATGTATTAAAAGTACATTTACATATTTTTCATGTTTTAATTATAATTGAGGCATTTCTATCACTTTGCAAAAGTGCCAATATCCACAAATAATGACAATTATGACATATTCATACACAGCCTGCTAGAATAAAACAATAAGTATCTTACCTTTAACATTAAACCACAATTATCTCCAAAAATATTAACTGTAGGTATAGGGAACCCTAATACTGTTAATACTGTTTGCAAGACAACTGATTTCTTTTTCCATTAAAATTATAAAATATAGGCTGTTTCATTTAGAATTATTGACTTACTATGGTTTAAAGTTTAAAGAAATGGAGTATAATTTTTGAATTTAGAAATTCAATTTCAATGTAAATTGCTGAAATAACTTTACCTATTGTTTGTGTGCTAAAGATTTCAAGACATTTACTTTAATAAATGGATGATCTATTATTTTTGAAAAGTTTGTCGTCAAAATTTTTGAAAAAAGATGAATAACTCAAAAAATATGAAGTTTTAATCTACGGCACTTTAAATAAATGTTTGTCTAGAATTTTAGCTAGAACCTAGAATGCAATAATATACAGAGTGTTCTATTTAAAATAACAAAGTTACTGCTTACTTCAGTTATAACTGGAAGTGACATGTCTGTCAAAATATTTTCTATAAGTTCGTCAACCTTTAATCCCCACAAACAATTTTTTATAAATGTTGTATGAGTAGTTTATAATATATAGATAGTGTAAGCTTCTCATGAAACACTCTGTATATGAAAGCCTTTGGTTCAGGTTTTAGTGTTAACACAACAACTGTAAGTAACAATATAGTGACTGTGCCTGGTATTGAACCAGCGGTTCTCTGGTACTATAGCCAATGAGCTATGGCCACCACTGGTCTAGTTTTAATACATTTTATTTCTATTCAAATGTTTTGACAAATCAGTATTATCAATGAAAACTTTATTACATACTAGAATTTGACTATAATATACATGGTATCTAAAGGTAAAGTGAATTCGGAAGCAGGTGAATTCCTTCTGAACCAATGGGACATTTGGTTTATTTCTGTGCAAGATGGTAGCTCTGCCAGTGTAGTAGTAAATATGTTGCAGTACAAATGTAACTTTTTCTGGGACTATTTTGATCTCAACAATCTTGGGTTGTAGATTGGGATTCTAAAATAGTTTCTAGCATAGCTTTTATTGATTCTTTAATGTTCATCAGTCTTGACTCACTGAGATTTCATTGTCTTAAAATTTGGGTCCAAGTATAAAGCGCCACATAATGTAAGTTAAGGGGTTGAAATCGTTTTTTCCTACGCATTTTTGTTTGTATTATAATTCTTTAACCAAATCTGAACCTTCAGGTTTCTTTTGGCAAAACTTGTTAAGCTTTTCCTGCCATAAAAATCTGTTTAAGGTGGGATGTAAATCTGAACTTAAATTTTCAGAACATTCTGTAACAGATTTAAAAAATCAGTTACAGATGTCAATGTGACAATGTTCAAAACACCTTGACTGTTGATTTTGTTCCTTTCTTCTTCCTTCTCAGCTTTTCCCTTTTCCGGGATCACTGTTCCTTACTCTTCTTCCATACTGTCCATTCCATTCTGTCCACTGTGTCTTTTTCATTTAAACTTTTCTCTCTCTTGTACTCTGCCACAAAGTTCTTCCATCTTCTATTTGGTTTTCCTCTACCTGTTTCCCTCAAAGAGAATATAACTGAGGAGAAGATACAAAGACTTTGTCTTTGACTTTTTGAAGATTTTGGCTGTTTCAATTAGAGGCAATTATATTAAAAAACTAAGCTACGAGTTTCTAAGTTCCTAGAAAGTTCTAGAACCTAATATGTTTCCACATCATATTAACCAAAGTCTGTACCCAAATTGATAGCTCTTGATAGCCAAAAATAAATGAAATTCTCACCTAAAAAGTATGTAAGGTTAAAATAGGTTATAAAAAATATAAAGAAAAATTACCTACTGTTGTACTCAATGGATGGAGAAGATCTTTTGCATAGGTATTTAATTATTGTGTAATAATCACCTCCTTTGTTGAAGCTGGCAGTGATTTAATTGCATATTTGTCAAAGGAAGGTTGACTATCCATTTTGCTTTTACTGGGAAGAGATTGAAGAGAACATTTATGTCTTAAGAGACTTGCTGTCCTTTTGGAAACATATTGCAGTATCTTTGTACAATGAATACACCATACAAAATCTTATGTAACTTCTCCAAACTCTGTTAATGTAGTATTTTATGCTTAAGAAGTAAGTCTTTTTCAATTTAGGATATTCTTGTAACATATCCACTGCCATCCATACAACAGTACAGAGCTCGACTTGCTTTTGCAAGAAAATACTAAAACTGGACTGACATAGTTGGGAGCACCATATTCTTCTTGGATAAGTCTAGATTTGTTTAAGACGGTCTCAAAGATGTATGATAAAAACATTAAGAGCGATTCGCCCAGAGCAATTTTGCGAAAGGATGATACAGAGGCAGCTCAGATATAATTTTTGGTGTTTAAGTTTCAATATCCATACTGTTTTGGATCTAATGAATGGAGGTTCTATAACAAGAACAAAATATATACCTATCAACAATTTTAGATAAACCCAGTCCACACTGTTCTAGAAACATTAAGAAATATTTAGAAGTTGGCACTGTCTCTATGAATAGGTTAGCTTCTAGTCCCTATCCAATCAAACAATAAATATGGAACAAATTGGACCAATTTGGTATTCAATATTTAATTACTTCAATGTAGAGTTTCAGAATATTGTAAGGGCCAAGAAGGGAATGCTAGAAATGAATTAACTTACTTAATAAGATAAACATTTTCTTGTAACAATTTTTTTATTAACATTATTTTTCATATTTTCAGATAATGTTATATGACTTCATAATTATATCAATTTTTTATATAAACTGTATTTCTTATTTATAATTAATGTTTCCTCCAACATGTGTACCTGATCTAAAAT